GGAGGAACGGCTGCGAGGGCAGGGGAGGGAACTGCACTGATTCTCTCTCTGCTGAGGACTAGGCGGTGGTTCAGACGAGCCCCGCACACTAGGATTCCGATCCGAGCGCGGCCCCCTCGGAAACTGCCGCCGCCTTCCTCGGCTCAGCCTCCGTGGACTACAACCCCCAGCAGGCACCGCGGCGCAGCGCTGACTTGCGCAGTAGCGTCCGTTGTAAAGCGCCGTGACAACAGGGCGAGGGTGGCGTGGAGTTAGGCGGGGGCGGGGAGCGGTCCCCTCCGCCGCGTCTGTCCCTTTCTGCTGCACCCCGCTCTCCCCTTCTCCATCAGTTCCTCCTCTGTGAGCCGCTGCACCTGCAGTCCTCGCCTGCCTGGTCTCTTCCGAGGGATACATGCGCTGCCCCTGTTTGTCTCCGGGGTGACGGAAAGGGGCGCGGGCGAGCGTGCTGGGGAGAACGGCTCCAACTCCGGGAGCCGGCGGGGCTGCCTGGAGGGGCTCTCTCCTGTCCGGGACGTGAAACAACTTAGAGCGGGAGTACCAGAGGGAGTAGCGAGGCGAAGGGTTGCTCTCCTTTGCACCCTCCACTCCGTCACTGGGAACCTCGTCAGGCGTTCTTAACGGGAAATCTGCGCAAAGAGCGTTCGCAGTGAGGTGGGGCAGGGTTGCACCTGCCTTGGCATCAGGTAAGAAAGTGTCAGGAGTTAAACTTCGGGTGCATGAATTGCCCTTTCTGTGTTTTGTGTGTAAGACTCTGATGCCATGCAATGGTTTTGGGGATCTAAGGTGATAGGTGTTTTTAGGAAGGATGTTTGCATTAGGACACACTGACCAATCATGAGCACAAAGTGTGCGAGATCCTGGGAACATCTTCTAGAAAAGGGTGACAAAAACGTTTGAGGATTCCACTGAGGAGTGACTGTCACGTGGTGAATGAACATTCTCCTGTGACACTTGAACAGGTCTGTTAGCAAATGGTCAGAGCAGTTCTCAGCCTATGACTGATGTAGGGTGCAGGTACTAATACCCCCTAATCTTCCTTGCAATAGGATTATTGCTTCTCTTTTCTACTTTGCAGACCACAGCAGTTTAGGTGAACTGAGCTGATTTTATCAGCACCTCCTCCTCCCAGTCAAGTCCTGCAATTGACTTGAATATTCTGGAAAACATTACAGGTGTTTGGGGGTATCTCACTTTTATTTTAAAAATCTCACATATTACACGTACACACACACATGACTTGAAAGATGCTAGAGGGAAAACTATGGCTCTTAGCTGATTTTCAGCCAACATTCAGAAAGAAATATTTTCTAACATAGTAGCAATATGTAAAGAGAATAATTGCTGGGAAATTTTATTTTTTGGTGAATAAACTAAATTTTTAATTTAGAAGAATTAAGAAAAAGAAACCTTGTTTTGAAAATAATTTACAAGTTATTTGTGAGGGTTTAAGGGATTTTTCACTATGTGCAATTTCTGTGCTTAAATTACAACTATACACACGTTTATGGTACAACTTCTGGATGGAAATATTCATTGATGGGAAAAAATTCAGTAATAATATGTAATAATTTTAAAAGTTTTATTGAGGTACATATCAAGTCTTATCCCTCTAAATACTTTCAAATATTTTTTGAAATTATTGGAACACATGAAGTTATTGTAAAACATCCCTGCTGATTAATAACGTTTCCATTGAAGATTACTATCAGCCTTTTGTGCGGCTCATTTAAATTTTCAGTCCAGAGGGCATTTGTTGTTTCATCTTACTCAGAGCACACTGTCACTGCCACCACCACCACCATTGTTACTACTTTTACTACTGTTACTACTGACATTTATCTGACATTTATTGAATGCTTACTTTGGGTTTGTGCTGTTTTATCCTGGCACCTCCCCCTCCCCCCCCCTCAAGAACAATTGGGAGACTAGAGGACGAGAGATTTGTCTAAGGTCATACAGATAGAACATGGGGTCAGAAAATGAAGCCAGGTTTGTCAGACTCCAGCTCTTGTGCTTTTCTGACTTTAGTGTCTTTTACTGAAAATCCCAACGCTGAGCCCTTGTAATATTGCCTTCAAAACCAATATTCTTATAACTCTACATGCATTTATCATCTTTCCCGAACTTCTGCCTTCAAAGCCACACATTCCTCCCGCAGGGTTTTCTGGGGTTATCATGGCTCCAGCCATGCTGTTCACCCTTCGGTATTGCAGCACTAGGTCAATGTGGTGTTAAAACATCCATCTCTTAAAAGAAACCTAAATCTCAGGAAACTTGGTTTGGAAGATAACACATATATAAATAAATATTAAAAAGGAAGTGTCAAGAAGTAAGTGTGGAAGAGAATTTCTGGAGTTTGGGGCGATAAAGATATTATCTTCCATTTATTATTCTAATAAGGCATTAGAAACATCTTTTGTGCTTATTTATAGGGAAGTACCTGTTAAAACCTTTAAAGTATTATTTTCTAGTCATCCTTTAACAATTTAAATGTATGAATACTTTTCTGCAGTTTGAGCTTGTGGTGATCAGAATTCATATGAACAGAGCTATTGCTGTTATAGTCTACATGGGGTGGCTGCATAGATCATTTGTTTAGGGTTCTGGAGTAGACAGCCTGGGTTTAGGTGCCACATCGACCAGTATTATTGTGATCATTTGGGCAGGCTTCTTAACCTCTCTGTATTCAGGGATACCCGAATAATGGTACCTGTGATTTACTTTGTAGTTCTGTTATGAAGATTGAAAGAGAATACTTGCAAAATATTTAGAACTGCCTGGGATTTAGTAAATAATTAGTAAATATTGGCTATTATTTTCCTTCACAGTGATGGGAAATGATTGTCATTGAAAAACGTGATGTTTGTTTTTTATTTCCCATTTACTAAAAATCACTGAGGAACTGCAAATCAACACTAAATGAATAAAATGTGAACCCTACTTTCATATTTTTATTTAAGACAGTTAACAAAACTAAATAAAAAATCAATTTATACATATCTTATTTTTTTGTTTGGAATACTTTTTATTTGTTTTTGTAAGCCAAAAGCCAGGTTACAGAACTGAAAAATGTCCTGTTACTATTGTTCTTGCTTGTTCCTAACCTGTCAGTATTGGACCTCCCCCACTGAACTTTAATGCTTTAATATCTCAGCATCAAGGGCTGCATCTTTCTCAACTTGGAATACAGATTAGTGTTTTATTTAAGTCTTAATTTATGGCCAGTTTTTCTTTCTCTCGAAAGGGCAGAATTTATTTTGCTAACATTCTGCATTTAATTTGCTAACCTATTGTTCTTCTTATATAGGATAAATGTGGCCAAAATACATAAGTGTCCTTTTAAAAAAGTGAAAAAATTTTTATTTTATTATTTTTTATTATGGAAAAATTTTAAATGTAAACAAAAGTATAAAGAATAGTAAAACAAACCCCATGTGTTCATGAGTATTTACTCTCTTTAGAAAAATAACAGCTTTATTGAAATATAACTCACATACTATAGAATTCATCCATTTAACATATAAAATTCATTTTTTGTGTGTATTCACAGATATGTGCAGCCATCACCATGTTCAATTTAGAATACTTTTATCTTCCCCAAAAGAAACTTCACACCCTTTAGCGCTCACCCTCGAACTCTTTTACCCATCCCCACTTCCGCCACTTCTAATCTACTTTCTCTCTCTATGGATTTGCCTGTTCTGGACATTTCATATAAATGAAATCAGATATGTGGTCTTTAAGTGGCTTAATTAGGATAGTGTTTTTAAGGTTCATTCATATCGTAGCATATATCAGTATTTCATTCTTTTCTTTTTTATGGCCAAATAACATTCTATTTTATGGATATACCACCTTTTGTTTATATATTAATCAGTTGATGGGCATTTGTTTCTACATTTTGGCTAATATTAATAATGCCACTGTATCAGTCTGTTTTTGTGTTGCTATAACAGATTACCTGTGTCTGGGTAATTTATAAAGAAAAGAGGTTTATTTGGCTTACAATTCTGGGACAGCTGCATCTGGTGCGGACCTCAGGCTGCTTCTACTCACAGCAGAAAACTGCAGACAGCCAGCGGGTCCAAGCAGATCACAGGGTGAGAGCGCGTGCTTGACAGGGTCTTTAACACTTAAACATAGAACTAACGTATGATCCAGCAATTCCACCCCAAGGCATTATCTGAGAGAAGTGAAAACATATGTTCGCCCCAAGGCATTTTCTAAGAGAAATGAAAACATATGTTCACCCCAAGGCATTATCTAAGAGAAATGAAAACATAAGAGAAATGAAAAATTATATGCGAATGTTTGTAGTAAATGATAGAGTTTGGATGTGTTGTTCTCCTAAAACTTGTGTGGAAACCTAATCCCTAATGTGGCAGTTCTGGGAGCTGTTTGAGTCATGGGGGTGGATCCCTCGTGAATGGATTAATGTTTATTGCATTGAATCTGTAGAGTGATTTGGGAAGTATTGCCATCTTAAGAACAATAAGTCTTCAGATCCATAAACATGGGATGTTTTCCATTTTATTTAGAACTTCTTTTAATTTCTTTCAGCAATGTTTTATAGTTTTTTCAATGTTTTATAGAGTGTAAGTTTTACACTTTTTTTTTTGCAGCTGGCAGGTATGGAGATGTGAACCATAGACCCTGGTGTCATGAGCACAGCACTCTAACCAAAGTGAGCTAACTGGCTAGCCCTAGTTTTACACTTCTTTTGTTAAATTTATTTCTAAGTATTTTATTCTTTTGAGTGTTATTGTAAATGGAATTGTTTTCTTAATTTCATTTTAGGATTATTCATTGCAAGTGTGTAGAAATACAATTGATTTTTGTATGTCTATCTTGTATCCTCCAACTTTGCAGAACTTAGTTATTAGCTCTAATAGGTTTTTAGTGAATTCCTTAGGATTTTCTATATGCAAGATCATTTCATTTGTGAGTAAAGACAGTTTTATTTTTTCTTTTCCAATCCAATCTAGAAGCTTTTGTTTATTTTTTTCTTTTCTAATTATCCTAATTAGAATTTCCAGTATAGTGTTCAATAGAAGTGGCGAATGTACACATCCTTGTCCTGTGCCTGGTCTTAGGGGAAAGCATCTAGTTGATCACCATTAAGTATGATGTAAACTGTGGATTTTGTGTAGATGTCTAGTTCTAGTAACTTTCATTCTATTCCAAGTGTGTTGAGTGTTTGTATAATGGAAGAGTTGGATTTTGTCAAATTCTTTTTCTGAGTCGATTGAGATAATGAGGTGGTTTTTCATTTTTCTTTTATTGATACAGTATATTACATTGATTCATTGTTGAACCACCTTGCATTCTTGGGGTAAATCCATTTGGTCATGGCATATAATTCTTTTTGTATGAATATTTTATTGGATTCAATTTGCCAATAGTATTTTGTTGAGGATTTTTGCATCTGTGTTCATAAGAGATATTGGTTTATAGTTTTCTTGTGATGTGTTTGGTTTTGGCTCAGATAACATTAGCCTCATAGAATGAGTTGGAAAGTGTTCCCTTCTTTTATTTTTTGGAGCAGTTTATGAAGAATTGGTAGTTTGGTAGAATTCACCAGTGAATCCATCTGGGTCTGGCCTTTTCTTTGTGGATAGTTTTTTGATTACTAATTCAGTCTCTTCATTTGTTGAGGTCTGTTTAGATTTACTGTTTCTTGTTG